GATAATGTTTGGGCACCTTCACAGACTTTTTTGGTTATAGGAAACTGGGACAGGCCTGAATATTCTGTTGGAATCTTCTCTACACTCAAATAGCTGGAACCAATACACTCCCTGTTATGAAAAGCATCAGAAGACCTTCCAAAGTTATTATCTTTATTTGCTTCAGACTGAGATTCTAAGTCATTGAGATTTTTATGAAGAAAGCGTTGGGCATTTTTTAATGCTTCCTGAGAAACATTATCAGTTTTACCACTCGCTGTTTTGAAACTGAACGCAACTGGTCTAGCTTTCAACTGTTTTGAAGGGGAGTCTTTTTTCCCACTAGTTGAGGATTTTTCTAAGGTGCTAATATCCAAGAAAAGCAAGCTATGCTTTGGTGTCATCCCATTTTCATTTCTACAGGTTTCGCCAGATTTGTTGACATTAATTTCTGCATTAACACCTGATTCAGTTGTATTTGTGTTTTTCACTGAATGTATCTCATTACAGCTGAAATTGTGATCTGATAAATTAGGTTCAATTTCAGAAAAAAGTTGTCTTGCTTTATTCAGTGATTCTTTAGATAACTGAACTGGCTTACCACTTGCTGTGCTAAAAAACATGCATTTATCGGTAGACAAATCTGATATACAGTTCCCTTTGGTGGAAACCCTCGTGTTAAAACACGTGCCCATTTCAAAACGTTCATCTGAAGTTTCACAATTTGATTCAGAGACAGCATCCACTAATATGGGCATAGCACATGGTAATGTTTGGGCAGTTCTATGCAGTTCTTTGGTTATAGGAAACTGGGATACATCTGAATATCCCATCGGCATCTTCTCTGTATTCAAGTAACCAGAAGTAATGCAGTTTTTACTGCCAAAAGCATCCAAAGAATTTCCAAACGTATTACATTTATTTGTTTCAGAATGAGATTCCAAGTTACTGTAGTTTTTATGAAGAAATTGTTGGGCATTTTTTAATGCCTGTGGAGAAACTTTAACAGCTTTACCACTTGCTGTTTTGAAACTGAATGCAGCTGGTCTAACTTTCAATTGTTTTGAAGTTGAGGTTCTCTCTTCATTAGTTGGATATTTCTGTAAAGTGCCAGTATTCACTAAATGTAAATCACATTTTGAATCTTGACTTTTACATGCTTCTTCCATTTTTCCTCCATTAAAATGTGATTCAGATGCATTTGTATTCAAGGCCAGTCCTTTAAAGGTCAGTCCACTCTTTAAGCCCTGTTTAACTGTATTTGACAGCACACCCACAGAATCTTCAAAATTATCTTTAGAATGTCCAATTTCTCTACATTTTTCAGCTCCTTCTCCAAATTTAAACATTTTTTTAACTGAATCTTCAACACTAGGCTTTGTAAGATTACCAATGTTATTCATATTTCCCAAAAAGAGAGATTCTTCTGAAAGAATATGCCTTGCTTTAAGTAAAGATTTGTCAGTAAATGTAATTTGCTTACCACTAGCTGTATGAAAGCCATTAGTTTGTTTTTCCCTGTTTTCAGAGACATTCTCATGGTTGCATCCAAAGATTTCAGTCTGATTTAATTTTGTATTCTCTTTCATAGAAGGGATAACTTCTTTATGGCTAACATTTGTCTTCCTTTTGCAGTATGACATATTATTTATCTCTTCCTGGATATCAGAGCCAATCAACAAATTAAGTCTCTTACTTTTTTCTGCAAGTATGTTCCCATCAGTAACAGTGTGAATACTCTGTAGAAAATATTTTTTTTCTGGCTTATTTACTTTTTCCTCTTGTTCTGAAATAAAGCTTTCTTTTTCACTTGCATCACCCCAAGTATTTTTTTCGGTTTTAGCAACTTCAACTAAGCAAGTTAGATCAGACAAGGTTTCTGGGCTATTATCGTTACAGCAAGTTTTCCCACAATTTATAAAATGATGTACGGGTAAAGCATTTTGATTTTTAGTGGATAACAATTCATTTTCTGATACATGTACAGAATATTTTTGAATAATTTTCAAGTTAACTTCTGTGGTGCTAGTAATCTGGACAACACTATCTTTACGGCAGTCCACATCTTTTAACCTATTTTCTGTGTCTTCTTTTACAAAAGCAATTGTATCTTTTGTGGTACCTTGTATTATATATCCAGCGGTTCCTTTTTTGGCTTTCTGAGGCCAATCAATATCTATTTCTTTCACAGGCATATGCCACCTATTGCATTTGTTTGAACCATCAGATTCTATTTTATAGGAGTTCAATGTTTCACCCATTCCGTTCAGATTGCTGTCTAATTCTGTACCTCTTCTTGTAATCTCATCTTTGTTCTTAACTGAACTATGATTTCCCAGATCAGACTGTAAGGGATCTGAAATAACTTGGACAAAACATTTATTTTCTTTTCTGTTTGATTTCAGCAATATAACCTGCTCATTGCTTTGTCTGTCAACATTACATTCACCAGTATCTATATGCTTACAGGAGGATTGATTATCACCTGGATTCTTTTGCACAAAATCGTCCACAAATCCTATATCTTTCCAATTCTTAGAATTTAAACATTTTTTATCAAAACATCTAGTCTCGTTAGTATTATTGTACATCTTAGTCTTGTATTTTCTAAACTGAGTAAATTCAAATTGACTGTCTGTTTCTTCTAATATATTAGAAAGTTCAGTAATTTCAGCTACTTGGCTTGCTGTTAAATTTTGTTTTTCTTCAGGGTGTTGTTTTTTAAGTACATTTTGAACAGACTTATTGTCATATTCAGGAAAACAAATTTTTATATCATTTGAGTGAATAGAATTCACCATAGAATCAGAAACAGGTAAAAAGTGACATGAATGTTTATTTAGTTCATTTTGTCCAACTGAAAAATTCTCAGTATTTTCCTTTTTATTTTTACTTGAAATAGCACCTTTTTCTTCATTCTGGAAGTCTTCAAGAAGCTGATCTTCTATATCCTTGAACAATAATTTGCCTTTTCTGATTTTATCAGCAGATAGCACTATCTGTTTATCAGATGCAGTCTTAAAACCTTTGAATTTCTGGATTTTCCTATGACAAAAACATCCTAACTCTCTCTGCTTATTACCATTTAAACTTAGTAATGGAGGCAGCATTGTATCCATTCCTTTCTCAAATATCATAGTTTTAGATTTTGATGCTTTTGTTGAATGTGCAGTTAATTCCAAGGTTACTTGTTTATTTTCTGTTTCTGATACTTGCATTGGCACTGTACATTCTTCAATAAATGCTTTTTCTGATGAACTATAATTTGGGAAATCAGTCTTTCTATCCACACAAGTATTACTGTCACAGATTTCATGGAGTCCTTTTTCAGATACCTCTGTTTGATAATTAGCAGCAATATCTCTAGAAAACATTACAGTTTCTTTCTTCATATTATTTTTTAGTAGTAGTGCTGAATTATCAGTAGTTTTATGTTCGATATTTGACTTTTTACTCTCTGGAGTTTTATATAACATGTTAGCAGATGTATAGCATTTTTCAGAATCTATTTGCTTGCTTGCTTTTGTGGAATGATTATCAGCACTTTCAATTTGTCCTGTAAGAAGTTGAATTATAACAGGGATGTTAATTAAAACGATATCAATAGAAACATATCCTAAATTTCTGTAGTATAATATTGTACTAAAGCCATTTTTTCAGGTCAGCTGAGAAGCCACAATTTTTGCTGATTATATCTGAATTACATATTTTTATTCTATATCTGAAAAACCATCAGATATTAAAGCATTTATATGCATTTCTATTTATAGATTAAACAGAACAGATTTGTCTTTACCAAAGAAACAGCTTTCTCTGAGATATTTAAATCTTCTTCAGTCATACCTATCTGAACAAGATGCATGTTTTTTATTTTGATTTCCCTACAAAACCACCCCAATAGAACATACTGGTAGAGTTGATTTTTAAAAAATAAAATGTGTATTTTTTCAACATACAATAAATAATTGGAATACAGTAGCATGTTCTTAGCAAAATCAAGTACTTTTTTCTAGAAATATTTGAAATTACACTCTACTTTTGAATGGTATATTCAATCTACCTTCCTCTTCATTAGTTCTTAGAGAAACCTTTCTCCATCCAGAGGTGGAAGAAAGGAGGGAAATTCCTTTATTTTTAAGGTGTGTTAATTTTACAGATATTGATCAGCAGGAGGCAGTATATGATCAGTTTCGTTCTATCTGAAACTAGTCAATTGTCAATTACTAAGACCACAAAGCTCTGTGAGCTGTGTATACCTGATAAGCCTCAAATAGAACAAAACAGGCCTCCTGATAGTCAGTATCTGAAATTCCACTATTTTTTTTGTTCTTACCATACTTTATTTTATCTACCTGAAAATGACATCAGCAATATTAACATATGTACAGTATATTTTAGTAGACATTTTCAATGCAGGAAACAGAAATTACAACGAGACACATACGGAATTTTCAGATTTAAGTTTAGAAGTCAATACACAAAGGAATATAAATATTGTACCTTTATTCTTGATTAGGATTTCAGAAAGTTCAGAGATACCGGTTTCTAAATTTGTACACACTGGCACAAAACAAGTAAGAGATCCATCTTTCTGTGTAGTTCCTTCTTCCTGCTGAACTAGAGAATTGTTTAGAGCATAAATGAATTTTTTTGGCCGCCTTTTCAAACTGGAGAGTGAGCTAATATTTTTCAAGCTTGACTTTGTGTGTTGTCTGTCATCACTAGAAGCTTGATTTGAAATATTACCTAGAAGATGGCTGGAAGAACTTTTATCCTTTCTTGAGAAATCAGAGCAACTACTTTGGACTTCTGAGAATTCTGTTAAAGTTCTGCTCTTTAAGAAATAATTATTCTCTGAAAATTTTACAAAAGAAAACTCCTCATCCTCAGCATGTTTCAATGACGTCGAATCATTCTTAATTAATAAAGGGGTGTTTTCGGAAACTAATAACTTTTTCGGAGAATTCAACTTACTATCTTGTATTAGACATGTTGAGTTTAACATATATGATTTTACTATTTTAGGACTACTGCCTTCTTTTTCAACAGATGATGGACTACCAGGAGAACTTTTCTTGACCTGTAAGTTAGAAGATGAACTAATGCCCTTCATGAATTTTTTTTCAAGCTGTGTTATTTCAAGACCAGACAAGTCCAACTGAGACCATGGACAAAGCAAAGATGATGGCATATTCTTCTGTCTATTCACTGCATTCTGTATTTCTGAGACATTTATATTCAGATTACATTTAGAAGGTTTTAACTTTCTTTCATATTTGATTTCATTACTACTTTCCTTAGAAGCCTTAATCATTTCATATTCTCCTTCAAATGCATCATGATTCTTTTCATAAAAAAGAGCTTTTTTATTCTCCTCAACCGAGTTAATTTTTTTAAGAAAAACGCTGCTTGTGGCAATATTCAGAGAAAAATCATTTGTTCCATCATGATTATCTTCATCCTTTGATACAATTGATGGCTTTTGGTATCCATGTAGCTCAACAGGAAATGCATTCTTATCAAAAGAGTCATTTAAAAAACTTTCAAGATCTGTAAATAATTGCAAAGCAACAGCATCAGAAGTAAAATCCCACTACAAAAATTTGGTAACAAAAAGTTATATGAGAATTCAATCATAAAATCTAAATAAAGGCTTATGAAATATTAATGTAGTTATTTGTACTTGGACTAGATGATCTCCAGGGTCCCTTCCAACTTTATATTATTATTATCATCATCATCTAATACCTGTTTGAAACTAACTATCTGTAATGGTATATGGGAATAACCTTGGGAAACAGGGCAAGGAGACACAGCCAAGGAATAGGAAAATAAAGTATCTTGCAGCAGAAATGTGGGTGGGGCAAGAGGTTCAGAAGTACTTTCAGATTTGCAAGAGTTTGTTAATGTAACTTTGCAACAAAGTAGAATTAGTTGATCTGGTCATGTTGTCTATCTGGTCTACCTATTAAGGCTAACACTATCCAAAATATTATCAATTATGGTTCATTTATTAGACAAAAATAAACAAATACCATATCCTAAACACATATTCTAATATTTAATAAAAATCTTAAAAGAAAAAGAAGCAAACTAAGAGATAGGAACTGCTAATAAAGGACAAATGCTTACTGTGGATTTTGCTGTCCATTTCTGCATGTGAAATTTCAATACCTGATGAAGATTGCCTGTTAATATTATTGCTCTTGAGACTTTTCTCATATTTGGAAAAAATACCATACATGATCTAAAAATCAAAGCAATGAAAAATTAATTGATAAACCTACATAAAAAAATTCTAATACCAAAAAAATGCTCATTCTTTACTTACAGTATCAATTATTTCATTATGGATCTTTGTTCCACAAATGGAATCATTTCTTCTTTCTACAATTCAAACGACAATACATATTATTCGTAGTTATTTTGTGGAAATCAGTGTTTTCTGTCAAACTTGTATTTAGTGAAGCTTTCTGAGGATTTTATCCCAAAATTCAGAACATATTTAATAAAATAAACTGAACAATGAAATACTCTAATAAAACTATTGGCACTTATATTAAGCTTGAGCAATGCAACCCCTTGCAATGAATTATGTGTAAATATAGATCCAACCATAATTATCTCTTTTAGTTATCTTTCCTCAGATAGTTCTTGATTTACGATCGGCCATTTAGTGACTGTTCGAAGTTATGACAAATTCCCCCACCCAACCCATAGCCACATAATTGCATTTTGGGTGCTTGGCAACTGGCTCACTGCACATAATTATTTGCAGCATCCCACAGTCATATGATCACAATTTTTTTTATTTTTTTGCCGGTTTTCTGGTATTTAAGTCCTATTTCCAGGAAAAACCACCAATTGGGTAAAATGGATTCACTTAAAGACTTCTACAAAAAATACTGAAAAATTGGTCACATGATACTTTAACCTCTGACCACAGTGACTTATGACTATAAGTCTGGGGTCAATTATAGTCATAAGACAAGGACTACTTGTAGTAGACCTGTAATTATTCAATTTAACCAAACTTTTAAGAGCACGTTTGATTTCATATCTATTTATACTCAGTCTTTCATTCAGGAACTCAACTCACTATAATTCCTCCTATTTCTTCCTATAACAGATTAGTAAACTATGGTGGACTGAGAGACAGCAGCTGGCTCCAAGTTAACCAGGAAGCAGTGGCTGATGAGGTACTCAAATTGCATTTTCTCACTTATTGTCCATCACAGTAACCAGTATACCACACTGATTCTATTTCTACTTCTTTAATAATATTGAAAATGAAATAAGTATATGACTAATAATTATCAACTGATTTCAAAAGAACAATAATTTCAATAACAATCTATAAATTATATTAATTACAATTGCAAAATGTCTTTCCTTTGTAGCTACTCTGTATTTACTGTTCTTTATCCTCACAGCTTTGTCATAACCATGTTACTTTCATTACCTATTATGACAGTTGGAGAAAGTGTAGGAGGTGTTGCTAATGAACTTGACCAAGACATATCAGGATCTGCCTCTGCTCCCAAGCTCTCAGAGATGCATTTCTGTGTCTGAACCTAAAATATAGTGAACAACCATTTACACACACACACACAAACATATGGTATTCTCATAGTTAAAATATTTTAGAATAAAATTACCTCAAAAATCTTGGGTGTTTGTAATAAACTTTCATTTAGTACTGAAAATGTAAAAGAAGGTATCAGTTCTTAGGATGAGCATATATTTATAAACTAATAAAACCTTCAGTGCAATAGGTAAAGATATTAATATTTACCATAATTATTATTTTGTTTTTCTTGTACAACTGGACTGAAATATAAAGAAAAAATAGTTATTTAAATCAAAAGCATCCTTAAACACAATTTTAATTTCTATAACTTAAAATATAATGAACAATGTCCATACATCCAGCTCATCTAAAGTCATATTTTAAAGTCAATATGAATAATCTGAGAGCTCCTGATTCTATAGCACTAATGAGACCAAGTACAGTCCTTTATTAGTCACTTTAATTTCTCCAAAAGGCAACAATAACTATTATATAATAAGACTTTATATCATAGTTTGAAGGTAATTATTTTATTATCTCTCTGCAGAAGTATGTTTACCTATCAGAATTTATCTTTAGGAAAATTTACATATCATAAGTACCACAGGGGTATATCATTGCAGCATATATACTTCTTAGTTGGTGGAATATAGGCAACAGTATACTGGCTTGCACTGAAATCTGTGGAGCACCTACACTACAGTAATAGCGGGGTAATATTAGGCTTTGATTGCATTTATTTTGATCAGAATGTGTCCAAACTGATTAACACTGTTCTTAAAAGATAATGGTAAATGTCACATGGCCATGATTAAAATTAGTTACCTAGTGTATTTCTTTCCCATTCTACCATACTGGTAGGTCAACTGTTCAAATCTATGTTCTACAAAAGATGGGTCCATCTGTTGACATATGAAGAAAAATGTATGTATAAATGGTTCATAGGTTGAAATGAGATAATCTGAATGAAGGTGAGCTGATCTTGTAGAGTTGATAAATACATGTAGGGAAACGTAAATTTAACTATAAATAAAATAGCTAAAATGTTGTGACAAGGTATGGATCCATGTCATCTAGACTGTTGTTGGTGTATATAAAAATAGAAATTCAGTGATAGCTGTTACTGTTCAGCACATTGTGATAAAAAATGAGCAGGGATGAGTTTGGGCATAATTGTGGAACATTCTCATTGAAAACCTGTTTGGTAACATGAAATATACATAGGATAGGGCAGATAGGAACATGGAAAACAAAGAAAAAATAACTGGATCATTCAGAAATCCAAAAATTAATGAAAATAATAAATTTGTATATTTTTAAATATTTGCTTGGAAAATGATGTTTCAAATTTATTGTTTAAGCATGTGTATTTGTGCATGTGTAAGTATACATACACACTCACAATTTAATTGAAAAGCTTAATTGATTTGTTTTTATATGATTAAAGACCAATACTGTTAATAAAGGATACAAGAATGACAAGAGGTTCTGAATGTGGGATATACAACAACTTGGAACTATCAAGAAAATCTTATGCAACCTTAGAAGGAAAAATTTAAAAAAAAAAAAAAAGAGAGAGAAGACTGAATTACTGTAGAAAAATAAAGCATAAGACTATGAATCTTTGTAATAGTAATGGAAAATCAATTGATCTTCCAACAGAATGAATGGAAAATAGACATAATAAAAGTGCATGTGAAAGTTGTTTGGAACAGAGTGAAAAAAAGTATGCTACAAATGCTTCAGAAATGTATGGAGTATGAAAAAAGGGAGAGTATGAAAAAAGATGCTTGGTAGAATAATGAAGTGAAAGCTGCAAGATAGGTGCATATAGGAAGATGATTGCTAAAAAATTTAGGAAATATGTTGTATTAAGAGAAATAGGTAGTCAGAAAAATATATATTTAAAGAAGAGGTAAAATTAAAATCAAAATAAGCAGAAATAATGCAGAATGATTTTGCTGGAAACATTTTTAATAAGTGAAAAACACTAAACAAGATCCTCCAGCAGAATGAAAACTATTAAAAATAAAAGTATTGAAATTATTTGGGATAATAGTGGAATATAAGAATGTGTTTCTGCCCTTTTTGTTGGGTGGGGATAAACAAGCAAAACATTGTGTTGATGGAGTTGATGAGATTCTTAGAAAAGGAGAACAAAAGTACTGCATGAAAAAGTCAGAGCAACAGCAAAAAGGTACAGAGAAATATATACTGAAAGAAATAAATGTTAACTAGATTTTTTTACACATTGTGCCCTAATTTGCTTGGCTATTTCTTATGCCTCCAGAAAATGTATCCACATCAATGTCACTACACATCAATGTCACTACAATTATTTATATACCAAATAATTAAACCACTAAATTCTGAGGCACTTGTTGCCATGTAGAATCAATCTGGTGTAGCAGTGAGCCAATTTGCTAATTTGGTTGGTTAAAGGCATCAGGCTAGAAACCACGAGACTGAATTCTAGTCTTTCCTCAGATGCAAAGCCAGCTGAGTGATTTTAGCCAGTCACTCTTTGTCAACCCTAAAAGGCAACAGCAAATAATTTCTAAAAAATGATGCCAAGAAATCATCATGGATATGTCCAAGCACTGTGATATTACCTTGATTCAAAAGGTAAATTTAGCTGTAATAATGGAATTCTTTTTTGTGTTGTTATAGACAAGATCTATATTTGCATCAGCATCACAGATAAATAAAAGAGATGCACCTTGGAATGACACAGGAACTAGAAGAATTCATTCCTTCATTTGATTCATCCACTTGTGTCCTCAGCGTAGGCATTTCACAGAAAGTTTTACCTGTATCAAAGAAATGTAAGCAAAAAAATACCTCTTTCACTGATAGTTCAATTTTGTCTAATTTAATCTTGAAAGCTACAGGAAGTAAGTTTGTTACTTAACCATTTTTAACCATTTAAACCATTTCTAGCCTCACAATTCCATTGCCCTCTTTGCTTATGCTCACTTTCCTCCTTTTAAGTTAAATCAGTTTAAATAAAATCTAGTAATCCAGGATCTAGTTCAGCCAAACATGGAAGAGCTTTCCTTCCCCTTAAGGGCTTTTGGGATTTTAGCTATGTAAATTAATAGCCTTTCTGAGAATTAAAACTGCTTATAGCAGGGGAGTCAAACTGCTGGCCCGTGGGCCAGATGCATCATGGTGAAACCGCACCCACCCCATTGCTGACAATGGAAAAAAAGTCATGATATGTTGCGAGTTTGACACCTCTGGCTTATAGAAATGAGACTGTCATTAATATTATGTGTATGTCATAATTTTTTTAGTCTTTGACTATAAAATTAAATAAATTTTATCAGAAATAGCAAAAACATTTGGTTAACTAAAACTTACAAATTTATGAGAAAGGACACTGAAGTTAAATATTTGATAGTAGTAATTACTAGATTTATTTATTTATAAAATTTATAGACCACCCACCCTACTTCAACTTAATCTCCATCTAGATTCTATTTTTCCTTTAAGATCTCAAAATGGCAAACACTAGGATCTCTATTCTTTTTATTTATCCATCAAAACCCACTCTTATGGGTTAAGTTCACTTGAGCAATAGTATTTGAATGAGTTAGTGAATTCCACAAAGGGAATGGGATTTAAATATGGGTCTTCCCTTTCAGTACCAGTTGCACATTGGCTTGGTTACTCTGAATCTGCTGTCAATTTTTTTCTTAGTGGTGGGTATTACCACTTTGGAAACTTAAAAAATGATATTCAAAGAACATAAAAGATTAAATCTATAAAACAGTTCACAAAGATTTTGCAAATCTATATTTTAAATAAAGGGAGTGAATATAAAAGATAAAGATTTTCCTGTCCAGTCCAGTTAAGGTACGATGCTTATTTCTGTTTCTTGGCCGAAGGGCTTTGTCCTAAGACATTTTCTGTGGTTGTGTGGCCAGCATGGCTATACGCCAAAGGCGCACAGAATGCTGTTACCTTCCCACTGAAGTGATACCTATTAATCTACTTGCATTTGCATGCTTTCAAACTGCTAGATGGGCAGGAGCTAGGGCAGGAATGGGAGCTCACCCTGTTGTGTGGCGCTTGGGTCTTGAACCCGAACTGTCAGCTTTCAAGCTCAATGTTTTTAACCCCTGAGCCATTGGGCCCTGAGTAAATAGTAATGATTAATAAAACATATGAAGCCCAAAGAATATTCTAAAGATACAGATGTTAAATATACTTTTAACAAAACATTACAATGTTGAAAATGCTTCAGAAATTAGAGTACTAATTAAGAATATGGAACATTTAGTGATTCAGAAATTTCAGAGAATTCCATTTTGTCCCGACTATGCCATTCCAAGCACAACTGCAACTTACAGAAGTCCTTTGAACCATTGCTCCAAATATGGTATTCTAGAGAATCTGGATGATCCCTTTCCTATTGTGCTTCATGGCCAGACTACCCTTGAAATACCTCAACTCTTCCTAGCTCAAAGGATTTTTGAAACTGATCTACCACTGTAGAAAGAGAAAGTTTTTGAAGGAAACAAAATGCTCTGTTCCTAGATCAATGAATGTTGCCTTTAAGATGCAAGCAAAAAGTTGAAATATAATAGATTACCTAATACATACTAGACAATATATATCCAGGATGAAATCCGGTCTATACACTTTCAGTTTATACCCAGAAATGGTTGAAATTGTCTTCTATTGTTTCATGCTTTTATGGAGATAGGGCAAAAGCTGTTGTTTTATAATTATCAACCCAACATTCCAGCTTTATATGAGCCACAATGTTTGAGCTGACACCTAATATTCCCCAAATTAGTCACTTTTCTACTTGTGGACCTTTATGTAGCCAGAAAAGTACATTTTCCACAGAAAAGGTATCTGCATCGTACCATTTCATTTTCATACTACATCCATTTTGTAAATGCTACACATACAAAAATGTTTATAATTTTGGTTACATATTATTTCTTACCTTACCTGTTTCTTCACTGAACTGAGCTGATTTTTCTATAGGAGAAGTAAATGTTTTTAAATTTTTATTCCGGTCTTTAAAAATCATGGGAGTTGATACTGATGAGTTATTTATAGACAACTTCCCTTTTGGGGTTTTGAAAGTATTTTGATCCATAGTTTTGTGTAAGGGGTCTTCTGTTTTTTTCACATCATAAGGTGGAGCTTCTGAACTGAGTTCTTCAAACCAATTGAGACTTATTGGTCCTAGGTCTAAGAAAAGCAGTAAAATACATTATTTAATGCATGTTTCAAGTTATACTTTAATGATTATTACTAGATTAATAATTGTTTCCATTAAATTCTACATAGAAGTAACTAACAACTAACTGCAAGTTTCTCTGTTATCAGCAGAAAGATTCACCTCCATGCCAAATCACTGGAAGGCTTTTAGAAAGAGAAACAAAGTCTCCAGCTAATGTATATGTTAATGCCAATTGGGAAACAGCTCAATTGCTGGACCTGTTGTAATCCCACCTTTTCCTTCCCAATATATTTGCTAATATATAATAATATATTAATAAAATAACTATGGTTTATCACACATTAATTATATTATTTACAATCACAGACAATAACAGAAAAAGGTGAAAAAACATGAAAACCCTGGCAGTAGCTACAATTAAGTGTGCAGTTTCATTTTAATTGTATACCAATCTTCCTAGGTTTTCTTTAACTCTTTTTCTAACTTGTCATTCTGAAACTGGGGAAGCAGCTATCCCCTCTCAGACCAAGGAATATCAAAATAATTTCAATCTTGTCTCCAGAAGAAGTAGGAAATAATATCTACTATAAGATACATCGTATCACCTATAGAAAATGAACTTGCAATGTACTATTTACAAAGGTAATTTTGTAAATCATATTTCAAGGAAAGTTTCATATAGGTTGTCCTCGACTTACAATTTCTTCAGCAACTGTTCAGAGCACAATGGTACTGAATTATGGGATTTACAACCTGTTCCAATATTTGGTCAAAATTTGGACTCTTGGGACTCAATCCACACTTGCAACCACAAGGGCGCTGCAACTCCCACCTACCTATCTGACCACCATTTATACTCTTTTGATTCTCTGCTGTCTCCCCATCGACTTTTGCTGCTGTTTTCTTCCTCCCACTACTGCTGAGGCATACCTGGCCTGGCTGCTGTGCTTTATGGTGCTGGCTTCATGCAAAGAAAAAAGGATTCCCTTCCCCCTCCACCCCCACCAAAAGCAGCTTGAATTGAAATAGTACCTGATTCGATGTATTGTGTTTTGAATATTTCAAACAAAGATGGTTTCTTTGCAGATGTATCAACATTTTTCTTATCCATTACACTGCTGATACAATTAAGAAAGTCTGCAAAATAAAGAGTTCTCAAAATTATATTAATTTCTCATATTTGACAGAAATTCTATTTCTTTTTCTTCTACATTGTTTTGTCATCATATACCCTCCCCGCACGAAATGCAAACATTTATGGTGACAGCACTAACATCATGAATGAACCAATAAGATAAAATAAAGTTTATAATTTATAGCTTATATAAAAATACCAGGTGAATTTATTTTGACAAATTATGAGGGCTGGTTCAAACATAGATCTAGAAGTCTCTTAAATAGAATCAAAAGATTAAAAACAGACTACAGGATTTTGTAATGTCTAATTCCATTAACTGATTGGCAAGAGAGTCAAGACAAAATATAATCAATGAAAACTGCTGGCAGTTGTGTAAATCCTCTTGTTGTGTAATGACTATAAGGGAAATTAGATCAGACTTTTAAATTGGTATGTTGTTTCAAAATGGATGGTTTATTTATAAGACTCATTATTCCTATGCAGAACTGTAACATGTTTTTAAGTATGTAACATTTACCTATAAGTATTGCCACAACAAATCCAAAAATATAGGGAAAAAAATCCTGCAACTGCAAGTGTTTATAGAAACAAACTGCCTGAAACTGAAAGTAAAGATATTATAGGAATAAGTTATATCCTACACTGGACAATACCATATTTTTTCAGAAACTGAATGATAGGATCATATTTGTATAGTCAAAACTTCCTCATATTTGTTAAACTAGTAACAAATTGCCAGGAATGAACATATGATGTTTAAAACCTGTGAATCCTCTTGAATTTTTAATATTTCTGCATAAATATGACCTAAAATGTGATCTGTTATCCAAACAAGTTCTAAAACTAGATAACAAATCAATTGGGGAAATGTGTCAAAAACATTATTTGTTCATTTATTGAGAAAAATGATACAAAGCTACATATTTCTATATGGCAAGAGTATATGAACCTCTGGGATTATCAGTTCATTTGAAGGGGAAACTAGCATCATGTGTTTCAATTAGTGGGATGATAACCAGGTGGTTATGAAGATGGGAAGTCCTGTCTTATTTTAAGAATGAAAATGTAGGATCTTTGCAATACAGGCATGGAAGAAGTGTGTCATGGCTTGAACAAAAGAGACTTCTGATGACCTCTGGAAAAGAATTAATCGAGGCACATTGGCTGGAAAAGAGTTACAAACTATATCTAAATAGTTTAGATTCTACCAGTCTGTCAGCTGCCAGGAAGGTTGTGTATAACTGGAGACAACTTAACCCTATTGTTATTTTACCCAGAAGTGATCAACAGACCAAGAGCATACCAAGGGTAAGATGCATAATGCTCTGGGAGAACCTCAGGATAATGTCAAAGAAACCGAAGGCCTATCTTGAATTGATGAATGTCAGGATTCATGAGACCACCATTAGGAGAATATTGAACAATGGTAGAATAGAATATAGAAGAGAAATGTTGTTGTTACTTCAAATGCACACCAATCAGCATACATTAAAATGAAATTTCACTGCATTCAGCTCTCAAAAAATACCATTATGCATATAACCACATACACACACGACACAGAAAAACATCAGTCTAATTCAAATATATATATATATATTTATACACACACACACACACACAGAGCAGAAAAAAAGAATCCTGTGAATTTACAAGACGGATGGTATAAGGCAGTGCTTCTCAAATAGTGGGGCGCGCCCCCCAGGGGGGGCGTGAGGCTCCGTAAAGGGGGGCTCGTTTGACCTCGGCAAATACTGTCATATTGGATTTCTAGATCGGATCATCCGACTCACTCGCAAGCGGCGTCCCACACGGCATTGGTTGCCTAGCAACTCTAGAGCTGAAGAGAGGGAGCAGCGCGGCGCGAACACTGAAGATTGTCCCAGCGCAGCCCCAGTAGCAGCCCAACGCGGAGGACAACATGACCGCCAACGCACGTGACACATGCAAAGGACCCGATTGGATAGACATGATGCTCTATCCTGATTGGCCAAACCCGCCCGTGTGACTTTTAGACCCGGAAATCGGTCCTCTGTACAGAAAAAATTTTTTTAACAGGGATGGGAAGACAGGCGGAGAGAGAAGGAGATAAAAGAAAGTCTTCCGAAGGCTAAGACGAGGAAATATGACGAGGCGTATGTTTTTTTTTAATATTGTGCTCCTTTAAATCTTTTCTGCTACAGTTAATAAAGCTATTCTTTGTTGTAAATTGATCCACATTTCTTTCTTTTTTTATTCTCATATACGTTAATAAGGATACAGTGTTATGCAGAGGTGTATTTGTAACAATTTTATAGACAAATGATACTATTTACAGTCGCGCGGGTGGCGCGAAATGTTTTCTTCTTCCTAGGGGGGCATGACAGAAAATAATTGAGAAGCACTGGTATAAGGACAAAGCTGTTACAGAATCTAGTAATTCTGCTATAAATACTTCGAAACCTCCTCCCAGAGGGGAGCAACAAAAACAGACTGTGAAGTGGGTGTGTGGGGTCTCTAACAAAGCTTTGAGCTCTAAGCACATAGCGTTTATAAGCAGTATCCTGAATAATGGGAAGCGAGCTTCCTATAATCTTCTCAGCTGTCCTTACCATTCTCTGTATGGACCTTCTATCTGAGGCACTATCACCAAACCAAACAGTGATGCAATTTGTTAAAATGCTTTCAGTTGTGCCTCTATAAAAAGTGGTCAGGACTAAAGGAGAAAGATATGCTCTCATTTGACACAGGAGATGCAAACACTAGTTTGCATGCTTCACTAAAGATAATGTGTGAAGAGACCAAGTCAGATTGTTGCCACAGTTATCTGCACTCCCAGGTACTTAATACTACTGACCACCTCCACAACTGCAGCCTTGATACAAAGTGGAGTATGAGGACTGCAAGGAGAAATTCACTACTCAAAAAAAATAATAATTGTTGCCCAGTGCTCATCTATAGTTTGTGAAATACCACATGGATAGGCCAAAAGGCTATTAGAGGAAAGTTCTGTGGATGGATGAGACTAAAAGAGAACTTTTGGCTTAAATAAAAAGATAGTGAAAAGCAACACTGCATTCCAGCATAAGAACTTTATCACATCTGTGAAACATGGTGATAATAGTACAGGTAGTCCTTGACTTACAACAGTTAGTTTAGTGACCATTCAAAGTTACAATGGCATTGAAAAAAATGACTTATGACCAGTTTGCACACAGCTGTTGTAGCATCCCCATGGTCATGTGATCAAAATTCATACACTTGGCAATTGACTCATATATTTTGATGGTTGCAATGCCCCAGGGTCCCGTGATCCCCTTTTGCTATATTCTGACAAAGTCAACGTGGAAACCAGATTCACCTAATAACAGTTTGACTAATTTAACAACCACTGCGATTCACTTAACTGTGGAAAGAAATAAAATGCAAGCAAACTCACTTAACAAATGTTTCACTTAGCAACAGAACGTTTGGGCTCAATTGTGGTCGCACGTTGAGGTCTACCTGTAATATGATTTAGGCCTCCTGATCACAAGAGCTTGCTATCTCTGATGGAACTATGAATTCTGAATTATACTAGCAAATTCTACATGAAAATATCAGAGTATATGTCTATGAACTGAAGCTCAAAAAAAAAAAAAGCTTTTGGAATGGACACGTCAAAATCTTTACATTAAGTGTAGAAAAATGTTAAAGGATATAAGCAAGCAGTTTGTGAGAGGAAGCCCACCAACATCCCTGAGTTAAACCTGTTCTCTGAGGAGGAATGGGCTGATTATTTTTCCAGTTTGTTTGCAGACTTGAGCAACAGTTACTGGAAATGTTTAATTGGTTATTGCTTCCCAAAGAGGGCACACATTACAAAAGCAAAGTTTCACATTTTTTACATATACAAATATTTAGGTCTGGAATTTTCTCGTGTTTTAGGTTTATATTTATGCAGAAACACTGAAAATTCAAAAGATTTCACAAACTTAGGAATTGCTGTAAATCCCCGCTGATTAAGACAAAATTCTAAAAATAACATTTATGAGAAATAGCTTGGCTGTTTATAACTGGAAATTTGTTAGATTTTTATCTCAGCATTGTTATTTATAGATATCTCAAAGCAACAAACACACCTAATATTCCCTCTTCCTGTGAGAAGTGTTGGGTTGAGTGTGTGACTGACCCAAAGTGCCCCAGGTGGCTTATGTACCTAAGGCAGGACTAGAACTCAATCTCCTGGTTTATAGCCCAACACCTTAACCACTACATCAAACCTGATATTGGAAATAACATAGCTAAAACCAGAAAAAATGACATTAAAATTATCAAGTTTAATGTCCAATTACATTGTGGTGGAGGGATCTGTACTATCTACATACCCACTGAAATTTACAAAGTGTAAAAAACAATGGCAATTGGCAAAAAAAACTTAAGAGTTGAAAAAAATGTTTCAAGTAGCCTTTTTGATATACTGACATTTGTATTCTAGAGTACAAAAAATCCCATTCTATGGAAGCCTTGTATTTTCTGAAATCAGAATCAATGTTCCATCACTGTATTTCATCATTCCCTGTAAAAAAACTATTATGGAGAATGAAGCTGAAGTCTACCCCTTTCCCACCTCCACATCTGCTAACTAGGTTCTAAGAACATAAGTCTGTACCAAATAGGGGGAGTTGAATCCAATTGGACAAATTTGCAAACCTATTCAATAGTCTTTGCCTCTGTTTGCAGGAAATTAGACTTGAATGCCTATTTAGTCCATCAATCCTATCATTGTCATCCTAATATACATACATGGAAGTAAATGCTTCTATATTTACATAATACCTACAAGTAAAAAAGTATCCAATGGGGCTTACCATGACTACACAAGTTTTGCAGAATTGGGCCCCGGTTTGATGAAATACCCCAATCAGCTGTGCTAGCACAGTAACACTGAGCACTAATTTTACTATATGATCAGCTGGCATAGCATATAGCCATATAAGTATTTTAGTTTAAGTCTGCATTTGACCTACAGGAAGGTTATGATCCAATATTTTTCTATCTCTACACACTTAGTTGGGAATGTACTAATTTAATGTAATCTGAATAGCAGGCAGAAGTATTAGGTATGTTCACCACCTTAAGTTAACTATCCAGTATAGAGGAAATGAAAATATAATCATAATCATCTTAGAGCTAGTTTGGTCTAAGGTTGGTTAAGGCATCAAGCTAGAAACCAGAAGTGTGCAAATTTTAGCCCTACCTTGAGCATGAACACAGCTGGGCGACTTTAGGCCAGTCACTCAGTCTTAGAAAGCAGGTAACAGCAAATCACTCTTGAAAAATCTTGCCAAGAAAACTGCAGGGACTTATCCAGACAGTCGGCAGGAGTAAAAAACAAAAAACAAAACTCAGGAGGCACAAAATCTTTAATGCTCATCATTCTATTTAAGATCTTGCAACGACCTAATAAATCATTCAACAAGGTGTACCATCCCAGATATAGAGAAGGCCCCAAGGTTTCATTTATGGCAGGGATCTTCAAACTTGGGCCTTTTATGACTTGTGGACTTCAACTCCCAGAATTCCTCAGCCAGGCACGCTGGCTGAGGAATTCTGGGAGTTGAAGTCCACAAATCATAAAAGGCCCAAGTTTGAAGACCCCTGCTTTACGGGGTCTCTCCGTCTCAAGCCCTGGAAGAAAACCCGACTTGTCTTCCACTCACTCGTTTCACCTCAGTGCCTCTCTTCATGGGTCAGCGAGTTTCTGAGTAAGAGAGCCCGCTAAGAAGAACCTCCGAAGAGCAGCCGCGCTGAAAAGTAGTTGAGAGCAAAAAAAATCAACGGGCGAAGCCAAGCGATGAAGCCCCGATACCGCCGGGCTCCAAATCATCTCAGCAACAACTTCCTCTGAAAGACAAATGAAGGCGCCAAAATCCGCCAACGCATGCGCAGTTTTAGAATGAGGGAAGAGGGCGGTCATTTCCTCACAGCTGATCCACTCTCGTAATCCGGAGGTTTTTCGTAGGTATCAACCACAGTACGAGCGGAAATCAAATGGTTTCCCGCTGGGAACGTTGGAATCCAGCTCTTGCCTCCGCTTTTCACTGGAAATGGAGTGAACGCCCGAAACTAAGAGCCAGCGGTTAGACTGTAATGGTTTAATCCTGCCGCACTCAAAGGATCATGGAACTTGTGGGTTTTTTTAAAAAAAATGCCCCGTTCTAGAACACGAGTTTAAATAGGTTTATATGCAATACTTGAAGTACGCCTCGAACCACGGAATTCTGATAGTTCAGAGAATAGGCATATAGTTTCATTTTTCTCCCGGAAGATGTTAAGATCCTCTCCCCCTCCTTTTTCAAAAAGCTGCAAATATCCCATTTAAATATACTCACTTCTTTTAGTTACCTGCAACAATAAGAATCTGATCCTGCAAATATCTTGTGAAAAAACTTTACATTTTACAGAATTAACTGATTTGCTATATACTACCTTTCAAGGAGATATAGAGAGCACTCACTTCTCCAGTTTCTCCCCACAGCAACACTCTTTTAAGTTGGTTGCCTCAAAGGTAGTTTTCCAAAAGGCAACAGAACTTTATTTTTTTTTCTTAAAAGTTTTACTTCAGTTCTGAAGAAGCTTCTTGGATGAGACACCAAACATTTTCAAGGGAAAAAACCCCAAGAAAGTCCAGTTGCCTTTAGGAAAAGCATTTTTGGGATAACCGTGACCTGGATGATTAAGAATCTCTAGACACTTTGAAGTTGGTTATACTGTGAATGACTAATTCAAAGTCACTGGTATGCTTTTGGGATTGAATCTGAATGAGTTTGGATGCTAAGCCACAATATGATTTTATTTTACATACTGTGTAAAGTCTGAAGTCATTACACACATTAAAATTTAAGATTCTGCAGCATAAACTTATTTAACAAATTGCAATGTTTAACCAAAACCAAACATCACATTAAGAGTTAGTGTGATGCATGAACAATGAGCCATTAAGTGGTTTATTGTGTGTTAGTACATTATAGTAACATAGTTAATTGTGACCAGTAAAACCTGGAGTTGAGACCTATATCTACAACATGATGGCTTCCACAATATGCCTCATCATTGTATGTTTTTAAAGTTTGTTAACTTAAAAGTTAAATGTAGAGTTAACATATTACTAAGCAATATGTTAATCATAAAATTCCACAAAGCCTTTTAGAGCATGCATATATTCCACCAAAAGTGGTAGAAATACACATGAAAGAAAACAAGCCAATGCTAGTTGAAATATGCTCACTTGTTTAAAAGACTAACAAACCATCCAGGTTCTGAACAATCTGGCCAGGTTGCTTTCTGACAAATGGGGGATTGGTTACATTCAGGCAAACAAAGGGCCCATAGTTTTACTTTATTGAGTCAAATTGCCTGGATTCACAGAACAAATTAAATAATTGAACTCTGTTTGGATTTCCACAGCACACTAAATCACATTTTGACCAAAAGAACCAATGCTGTTTGGATAACTAGGTTTGTGAAGAATAGTTTTTTATACTGCAACTGGGCCAATATTAGATGTTTATTGGATTGCATCTCCAAAATTCAATGATATCAATGTGCTATCTTGGAATAAATGTTTCCACCCCCTAATAATTTGGTACGGCTTAATTTTCGGTAAAGTAACCCTTTTTCTTCAAGGGAGCTGCTGAATCAAGTTGTAGTTTCATCTTTCCATTTACAGCCAACTGAATCCAAAACCTATCCATCCATCATGAATGGTTCTTGGTTGCAAACATTTAGTGGAAGCGCTTTATGGCGCGATTGCACCTTATTGTTTGTGGGTTCAAACCTGTAGACTCCCCACAACTTCGGCGCTTAAATTTCAAACGTACTTTACGAGCGTAATGAGTACAACTGTTCCTTGATTAACGAAGAGCGTTTATTGTTTTTCGCCACTAGTAATGAGCACTAATTGCAACCGGCACTCCTGGGAGCGATAAAAGAGAGGGCAGGCAGGAAGCCTCCCCTTAAACCAGGCTCCCTGTCCCAACATGGAGCGTTTCGTTTATCCGCCTTACGGCGTTTATCAAAGTTATGGGAGCAGCTTTACCCCAAGCCACAACGTGGCCTCGAGATTACCGCCCAAACAGAAGCAGCCAAGCTGGAAGCAAAGCAAGAGTGGCGGCATCTCTAATCCCTACCGAGGGGTGCTGTCTGCCCCTTCCTCGACTCCTCCGGTGTCTTCGCCGGATTATTTGGACACTTACAAGCGAGCGCAGCTAAAGGCGCTGCTGTCGCACGTCAGCCCGGGCCTCACCCCGCGGCTCCGTAAAGCCAACACCAAAGAAGTGGGCATTCAGGTGAACCCGCGGGCGGACGCCTCGGTGCAATGCTCGCTCGGATCCCGGCCGCTCCAGGCCGTCCGACCTCAAAGCCCCTCGGGCCGGCTCAGCCGGGAGCCTCCGCTCCCAGGCTTTTACTCGCCCGTGCTCGGCCGCCGCCTTTTCACCTTGCCCGAAACGGCGGAGAAACCGAAGGTGCCGACTCAAGGGCCGGCCTCGCCACAATTCAACCAGGAGTCCGAGGAAAAGGGAACGTCCGTGGAGGAGAAGGGAGACGGAGGCGCCGAAGAGAAGGCGGGAGCCGAGGACTGGCTGCCGGGCCACGCTGCCGGATACTCTGCCCAGCAGCTGATTGGAAAAGGAGGCGAGGCTGGGCAAGGCGGGAGTCACCTCGCCGAAGAGGGCAAACGAACCACCTTCCAGGTGAGCGGCTCGGTGGTTTTCCGCTGGACGCTGCGCTTTTGGTTAGAAATCCCTTCGCTTTGATGAAAGCGGGAAGGGGGAGTTTTTCAAAACGCCGTGGAAGAACTAGTGTGTTAACTGCACCCTGGCTGCCTGTCTTTGCCTACAGCAGTGTTTCCCAACTTCAGCGTCTTTAGGATGTGGGGACTTCAACTCCCAGAATTCCCCAGCCAGTTGGGAATTGAATCCCGTCAGTTAAAGTAGCTGAGGTTGAGAAACACTGCGCTAGTGTCTTGGGCCAAGGCCTGACATTTAAATGAACCAGTCAACAAGTATGGTGAACATGCGAATACAACCAGGATGTAACGTTTGTCAGGTTTCTGAGTCCCCATCCCACCCCAAACACAGGCATGGAATTTAATAGTATATTCGCAAGAGATGTTGGGATTAAGAATTATATAGACCACTTTTTATAGTCCTGTACTTCTGGCTTTTTGAGTTTAGTACTTAGGATTCTGCTAGTAGCCTTTCTCTCTGGGGTAGTACTGTAATTGTTACTGGGGTAACTTCACTCTTGAATGAAAAATGGGTGTAAAGTTCTTGAAGATGTCAAAATAGAATAGCATTTGGCTGTGGGAGTAGAACAAAAGAGTATTTGGCCAGAAATAACGCTATCTTAATATTTGGAGAATGCTTTTTTTTCATGCTTACAGAGCAAGGTAAATATATGGTGAATAGGATTTTTTTCTTGAATTCTGCATTTAAAAAGTATGCTTTAAATGTTAATGGATTAAAGTAAATGTTTAAAAATCTTACAAAGCAAATTTAGTAATTTACTGTTCATGAACAACTTTCAATTGCAGTTCTTAGAACAGAAATATGGCTATTTCCACTGCAAGGATTGCAAGACCAGATGGGAAAGTGCCTATGTATGGTGCATTTCTGGAACCAATAAGGTATGTTTAAGGGAACATTGGAAAAGTTGCTTCTATTGTTTAAGGTGTAAATTTCAGAAAAGGATTCAATGTCTGGACTGCATGTTAGAAAATGTAACTGCATCTCAAACATGCAGAATCTTTTTAGGCTCAGTTTTGATTGAATGAGAGGAGTAAACTGGAAGTGATGTTTTTGTGCAGTTTTTACTGTTAGCTATAGCAGTGACTAATTGCAAATGCTGTAAGGCAACATGTTGTTGGTTCACAGTTCATGATATTCTTGTTCACTTTCTCTGAACATAAATTATAGTTACATTTTAATACACTGAATCAGTTTTTTTTTGCTTTGGGTTAAATCATGCAATGTTAAATGAATGGGAAATCATAAAATGAGCTGAGTAAGACCTTTTAATGTCTGTTTGGCAGAATGAGTTTTGGTTCAGTTGTGCTGCAATGTATAATTTTTTGCTGCTACATTTTAAAGATCCTCTGATCCGAGACTTCTCCCCTCAAATGTAGCACTTTCATTTTTAGGTATACTTTAAGCAGCTTTGTCGCAAGTGCCAGAAGAGCTTTAATCCTTATAAAGTAGAAGCAATTCAGTGCCATGTAAGTAAGACTTGATATTCAGCAACTTCTATTAACACATTAAAGAAGTATAAAGAGAAAAACTTGGATTTTTTTCTGGCTTACAAATTGCAATGTATTAAAAAACTATTTGAATCATAATATTGTAATATACAATACAATTCACTGAGACAAATTTACTTCCATAAGTTATCTTCTCCACCTCAACAAATAATGGCAATAAATGTGGCACTTTGAAACTTCTCATAGAAAGGCTATCATTTCACAGACTTTGGATATAATAGGCAGAATGTCAGGTCAGTCAGCCCATGGAAATTGGAAGGTTGCTGCTTCTGAACTGTAAGGCACTTACATTTATAGTAAATTAAATCATTTGTATGTAATGTAATCATTTTTGTGAAATGATACTTTTGGACTTATTATTAGAAGAATGAACTCTCTTCCTCTGATGACTGTTAAGTCTTACTATTCACCAATAAGTATGGATAATAACAGATGCTTCATTTCCTTGTTCTTAATAACCAAAACTACCTCAGGAATTGATTAGAGAATTTCAGAGGATGGTTGTTAACTACACAATTAAAAATATAGGGTATGGCCATTTTTAAAACTTTTCTTAATCCTGGTTCAACATGGGTGTAGGTGCTTATCCTTATGAAAGTATATCTTTGTTTAATGTTATTTGGCATCTGTGGTACATTTGTGCAATAGGATTAACTTGTACCTTAGTTAATAGAATATTTTTCATCTTTTATAGTTCAAAAGTTTATAGAAGATCACTAAGTATAATCAGAACCAAAATAAACTTTGAAATAAGAATAAGAAACTTTTGATTTCTTCTACTAATTAAAGTTTGTTATCTTAAGATCTGTTCAAAGACTCGTTGCTCCTGTCCCCAGAAAAAAAGGCACATTGATCTCAAGAGACCCCACCGGCAAGAGCTATGTGGCCGCTGTAAAGGCAAAAGATTATCTTGCGACAACACCTACAGCTTCAAATACATTGTTTGATCTGTGCAGTTTGTATGCTGAGGTTGCATTTAGGTATGCACTTTGTTTCATAATATGGATTTGACTTTAGGATTCTGACCTGGCAATGGATAATGGACTAAAGATGTTTGCAATGCTAAAATATATTTGTAATTTATCACTGTACAGCCTAATTAATAAAACTTAAATTCTAATTAAATTGTATTTCCCTTGATGAGCATTAAAAAGAGATGGGAAAGCTGACATTCTTAATTAGAAATAGGTGGAAAACTTAAGAGGAATTTTACATGCCAGATTAAAGCTGGCAAACAATACATTATATTCCTGCAATCTTTTTGTAGAAACAGTGATATATTTTCAGGATTCTGAATATAATTGAACTTATCGAAGTTTGATGAAGACTGAGTAGTATACTTTCATATTCACTGAGGCATTCTATACATGAACTTAAGTTTTAAATCACTGAAGGAAAATAGACTATGTAATGGATTTATATGATAAGGGTAACAATCATTAAATGGAATAAAAAGCACAGTAGTCTTCCTGAGTATCAGATGGCCTGTCTGTCTTGTTGAAATTACACAGGAAAAAATACCTGAGCATACTAGTTTACTTAGGTATTTTGTATTGATAATATAAGACAATATCAGATTGCTAATGTACTTTGAATTTTGTGGCTCGTGTTAAATTATTTACATCTTAGCACTTTTATCTTAGGAGGGACATTACTTTCAAAACTAATTTGCAAAAAAAAAATGATTAGGCCTATATTAGAAGAGATGTATACTAATTTTCATAGCACTATAGATTAAATATGGAATTTCAAACCAATGTAAAAACAGGAAAAAATTGATAAGATTTGGCCACTCTTCATAAACAATTGAGATTTTCATATCTATTTCATATACTAATGCAAAAAAAAAAGTAACCTGAGTAGTTGCACGTGCAATGAGTTTGTACCCATTTCTGTTGCATTTTAGCAAAGAGATGTGGAAATAGATGGTTAAATGAAGCTTCCATGTTATTTCCAGTGGTTTTTAGATAATAAAAATAGTAGCAAAATTATACTGAAAACAACACAAGTTGTAAAGTTGCAAACATAGTTCAATTATGCATGATTGATAGTTCTTAGATATATGTACATAGGTTGACATTTCATTTAAAAAAATGATGGTGTTGGTTTAAACCTGGGTTATACACGAGTTGATAAGTAGCACAATGAAGAAGAAACATAAACTTCATCTGTTCAATTATATTAGGTTTACTAACACTCAGAAACATTTGTTAATCTCTTACAAAGCATTCCTCTAAGAGAATAGTAACTAAGTGAGTAGGGCAGCACTCGAGTCACACAGTGAAAGAGGCACTTCATGTTAGCTTTCATGAGGGTTAGCTGACACGGACTTGCCACACAAGATTATAAGCAATAAAAATAATTTTATATCCCATTAATACTCCCCAAATCCATATGATTATGGTAGGCCTTAGTCACTAAGCATAAAGCTTGTCTCTCTTCCAACTCAATAGGGAGAAGAAACCAAGATAAATACCTAGCAAATGACATGTTGATTTTATAATCTGAATGAAAGATACACTATTTTAATTCCTGTTTGAATCACTTTTAGGAAATGAAATTTTAAGTTGGCTTCTATAATAAAGGTGGCACAATCCAGCAGGAAGAGGTTCATACCTATAGAGCCCATTCTGCTCAATCGTGGTGTTACAGAATAAGTACACTTACATTTTGCATAACATAATATGTATTTCTTAACAGCTTGACTTTCCATTACAATTCAAACTAATACTTTGCTTCTCTTACATATGTTCAAATTACTGTTTTGCGGAAGGGAGAACAATTTTTATATATTTGCAGAAGCCCTTTTAGCCTGGTTCCTTTCTCACTTGTTTGGACTGTAAGTCCCAGAATTCCAGTATATTCTCTAGTTAGAAATTCTGATATTAATGGTCCCAACATCTCTGGAAGACACCAGATTGACAAAGCTTAGAGAGAACCAGTTGAGCAAGAATACATTAATTTTAAGGAATTTTGTTAAATTTATATCAGTTTGTGCAGGTTAATGTTTGGATGCATAGTGAGCACATAAAAGGTGGACTAATTTACATGTTGATTCAAGCCCAACTAAAAAAGAACCTGATTTCAAAATATTCTTACAGAATTGTTTCCATATATCTTATAGCATAAACCCATTACAATTTAGTACATTTACACACTAATGTGTATGTATATAGATATATGTATGTATGCATGTACATACACACACACACACATACATATATAGATTTTTATATTTGAGATCTAATGATCAAAATATTAAAAGAAAATTCACAAAAACCTTTAAATCAGTGGTTCTCAACCTTTCTAATGCCGCGACCCCATAATACAGTTCTCCATGTTGTGGTGACCCCCAACCACTTATACATCACCGGGTGCCAGGGGCATGGCCAAAGAAAAGGGGAAAAAATGGTGGACAGCCTTGTTTGGCGACCCCCGTGAAATGGTCGTTCGACCCCAAATGGGGTCCCGACCCACAGGTTGAGAACCACTGCTTTAAATGTATTTACAGGGTGAATAAGTGACACAATGTTGGAATAAAAGTGTCTCAAATGTGCAAATAACTTACATGCACTTATTTTAATTTTTTACAGCAGTAAGTGCAAAAAAAATTACCAGAAAACAGGAACATATATTACTAATAAGCAACCCCCCACTTGAAAATAGAAAGTAAATCTGATCTGTACTTAATAATTTCAGTGTTATATTCCAAATGTACATTAAAATTAAAAGATGCATGTACCAGTTCAAAAGAATTTAAATCAGACATATTTTTCTACAAAATGACAACTTATGCCAGACCAGCATTCTTAATATAAATATACATAAAAGCAACTCTCTAGTAAAAAGCAGCCAAAATCTTTTTTAAAAAAAATCTTAGTCCATTCATAGGTACTTGGGTCTTCATAACAGACCTCATGAAATAGGATCTAGTACCTTCCAAGACAGTAGCCTAGCAACATCAACAAATGTACTTCGTAGCAGCTTATTTTTTCCCTATTTAGAAGATACACTAATCATATTTAAATTACAGTGCACATCTGTAGTCCTTTACAACAATTTTCATATGCAGAGGCTCTCAGCTTTCGCAGTGACAGTCTTTCAGTATCCTGTCGCTAAGCTTCATTCTGCCTGTTTTTAATAACTTGGTCAAAGGAATAAATGTACAAAACTAAAAAAAAATCCTAAAGTGAAGGAGAGATTGCACTTTTGATATCTAAAACTATTTGTTAGAAAGGAAGCCTTGCTCAGTGTAGTAGTCTTTGGTATGTAAGGAAGTCACTTCTTCAGTAGTGAATTGCAGTTGCCCTGTGAAAGTCATTTGGGTGTGTAGTTCAGAACAAAGGATTTGATGCTATCTTTGTCCTTATATTATGACTGCACTCTGAAAACATTGCCCGACTTTTCTTGGAAAATATTGTAAAAGTGACAAGATTGGCTATGACTTGACCAACTCTTTCTAAAGCTGAAAATGCACTGAACCATCTCATCCCAGCATGGAAGCAATCCCAGCCTGAAAGAGGTAGAGGGCACAAGACTTTTGTCAGAGACTCGTGCCAGAGACACTGGAATCTGGAAGAAAAGAATTGATCACGCGGTAGCTTTGAGCTCGCCGGATCATGTCCCGGATTTCTATGTTCAGCTCCATCAGTTTCGTACAGATTTCGGTCAGGCTTTGGTTAGAGCCTACCAACGCATAAGTGCCAGATTGCCCTAGTGTTTGGTGCCGGAAGTAAATATTCAATAGAGTTTGGACTTCATCATCAGAACTGCTTCCAAAAATGTCATTCGGCCATAAATTCCTGCAATGAAACAAAAGTACAGGATATGCTACTGAAATGCTGTTTAACGCAAATGAAATCCCATTTCTTTATTTCTGTGCCTAACATGTAAAAAAGTTAGAAAAAAACCACCAGTGTTATAGATATCACAAAAAGAAGGGAAAATGCAAAGGCATGAATTACAACATGCAACATATTTAAGAAGATTCCTCTTCAAGATTTCTCTTTCTCCTTTGAGGGAAGAGGAAGAAATTTCATTATTACCTAGTAAAGTAACTTTAAAACTCCTGGCTTTTTGTGTAAAGCAGGTTCTCTTTTTTATTTGTATGAACCCGTTGGGTTTTATAAGATAATGTAATTCAAACCAAACAGATATGCTGGGGGGGGGGGTTGGGAGGGGGGTGGCTTTTGGTACTATCTCATGTATGTATTCCATGCAAAAGAAGCTTGAAAACCAAGACATAGATAGTTTAGTGGACAAAACCAGTAGATATACATGAGTATGTTCACCACTAAGTTGGCATAACATACTAGAACTTTGTTCCTTTCAACATGCAAAATTTAATTTGTGATCAAGAAAGTTTTTTTTTTCATTTTCATTTTTTCATTTTTTTTTTCATTTCAATACAGAACCTTCATTTCTCTAAGCGAGGTACTAAGCGAGATAATAGACTGTGTTCCAAAGTTATAACATTTTTGAACATGTAAAGAAACCTGATGAACAATGGGAGCACAGAACCTTTTAATTATTTCTCAATTATTAAATTGAAATGAATCCCTTTAATCTGGAACCATCTATATAAATTCAGCAATAATAGTCAGTATTATTCAGTAAAAACATACAGTATTTGATAGTTTTTCAAAGAAAATAGGAAATATGATACATTAGTCATCTATTCTAATATACCTGCATTCTCTTATTTGGTGTAGAGCTTTTCCAAGTTCATTGTTTTTCAGACACTCTAGCATAAATTGAATAGCTATTTCTGTAGAAGTGAACATGGGTTCAGAGGTACCACTTTCTATAATCGATGGATCAACTGCAATGGCAGCACTAGCTTCCTTAAGGTTTTTCTTTAACTCACTCAGTTCTCGTGACATATTTAGCAGCTGTGGAAGAAGAAAAATCATTTTTAGCAATGTACATTTTCCCCCTCCCATATAAAAGACGCAAAATTCAAGGACAGATGAATTATTTAAATTAGGAGGAACAATATCCACATGAAAATTAATTTAAAAATATGCAGTGAAATATATATTTGATACATCTTGTCCTGATTTTAAAACCTGGGGAGGAATATAGGGAGTTTTACAAGTTAAAGAAAATATATTGTAAATTCATTCTTACTTTAAAAAAATGTAATAGATATTAAGTAAAATAAAATTTTATTTACCCTATTAAGCTCAAATATTTGGATATGAATCCAACTTTATGGATTTATTAAGATTTTTTAAAACTAAAATCAATGCTCTAAGCATTAGCATTTCAACCCCACTGTTCTAAAATAAGATCTATATATTCCACAGTACTTCATGCTATCTTATTATTTCTTTTAAGCCTCGGTCTAGCTTGGTTAAAGAGTCTACTTCATTTGTATTATATTTGCCCAGTTTACAAGATCAATGCATGATGTGAGAAGGGTTTTGTTCTTCAGTTGGCTTGTTGCAAACCCTTATACTGTGTTATGTCATTGTTTGGCGGCTGTGAGAAAATGACTGACTCAGGGTTATCCAATTGGTTTTCACGCCTGAGAAAGAACCTGCAGCTCTTTGATTCTAGTCTGGCATCTTAACCACTAAACCACACTGCCTTTCATTTGCAAGTTTGTATTTTGTGAGAGTGGAATAAATGGATTGTGAATCTCATTAAACATGGCATCCCTTATCAGAATAAAACACACTCTTTTCCAGTGGTTTTGTTTCTACTTCTGGGAGTGGCTTCATGAGGTGAACTCTGCTTAGGTCCATGATTTCTGGGCCATGAATCCCACAATACACAGTATTGTTACCATCTTTTTTTAACCTCCTTTATACAGTCTACTCTCTATAAATTTAGGTGGGAAAAACTGTGTCAATAATTTTTAAAAAATCTGAAAAATCTCATAAGATGAAGCTGTTAAAGTGACATCGAACTTTACTTCCCTTGTTTTTAAAATCAGGTGAGATACCGCAGGTGTTGGCTTCTGACTTCATGAAAACCAATTATAACAATATGTTATTGTAGACTGCAACTTACAACTATATATCAGTTGGGTCCACTGATACCAGTACTATTAAATTTAAAAGGCTGTATTGAGATTATTTCAATTAAACATCAATTCCTTGAGGTCTGAAGTCAAGGCACCTCATCAGTAATTCTATCTGCAGGTTACACGTTACACGTCTAGATGGCTAGGTTCTGCTTTATATTCGACAAAAATAGGACAAAAATACTAATTCCAAGGAAATTAATACTGTTATCCTGTCATGAAAAGTAGATTCTACCATTTCATAATTCCATGATTAATGTTGAATTTTAACTTGAAGAATAAATATATAGCATTTAGATGAGCTGTATGCTTTTAAAAAACAATGCCACAAACCTATTTAAGAGTAGCCCACTATGTGCTACATGCAGCTTACTGTAATACTATAGTTTCAGTATTAAAATTAGGGTAGGGAAGTCTTTACTCAGCCATTAAA